TTCATGCCTGTACCCCTAGGTAGGCTGAGATCAGGAGGATTAAAGTTTAAGGCTAGCCTGCGCGAAATATTCAAAATCCCTCATCTCAATCAATAAAAATGAAACATGGTATCACACATCTACCATCCCAGTAATACCAGAAGGCAGCTCATAGTCAAGGTTGGATAGAAACAAAAGCAAGACACTACTGAAAACATAGTGGAAGCAAATGTGTTGGAACCATGGCTCAAATTGTAAAGCAAGTATAAGGCCCTGAATTCAACCTTAGTAACACACACACACACATATACACACAAAGAATCACACTGTTCATTTCCCTTACATCAACTTCTCTGACTTTTTCTGCTTGACTCAGACATATACTAGTTATTGCAAATAAGGGGAAACCATGGAACCTATGTTTCTTTGGGCCTGACTTACATCACTTAATATAAGTTTTTCCAAGTCTTTCCATTTCCTACAAATGGGGCAATGTCATTCTTTCTGATGGAGACATAGAATTCCATTGTGTACATATATCACATTTTCTTGATCCACTCATCTACTGAGGGGCATCTGGGTTGGTTCCATATCTTAGCTATGGTAAATAATGCTGCAATAAACATAGTCGTGCTGGTAGCTTTAGTGTGGTCTTGTTGTTTCTAACACATTTATAATATTATTTCTTTGTTGCTTTATATGTCCCTCCCCCATGGTATAACCCCTACTTTCACTGTATTTGATGTCGGTATAATTTGTGAAGGGGAAGGGAAAAATCAAATCGTTTAAATAGGGACACAAGTGGACTCATTGCAACAATGAGATGTACAAGTCGTTATGTAGAAAACCAACTTTACAACTTTGGTGGGAGGAGGAGGAATTGGGTGGGGGGGTGGGAGGGAGAATGGGAAGGGATGAGAAGGGGAAACAAAGGAGGAGGCTACAATGCTTGATAAGAAATGTACTCATTATCTTGCCCATGTATTTGTAACCCCTCTGTACAGTATTTTCACAATTAAAAAAAAAATAATCACATTTTTCACTAATAATCTTTACTAGATGTTGAATATTCCCTGGAGATTTGTATAGTACAATTAAAAATTCTTCTATTTCTACTTTAAGAAGATGGCATTTAAAATATGACTTGCTTAATACATAGAAAAGTTAAAGGTGATGCTGAAATATATAAAAAAATTTCAGCATTAAAATTAGATATAACATTTCATTCAAATAAGAAATCATAGGGTTCTGAGATATAGCATCACAAAAGAAGAATAAGGGAGGTTAAAATTTAAAAACAGAGCTGGGCATCGGTGGCTCACACCAGTAATCCTAGCTACTCAGGAGGCTGAGATCTGAGGATTGCCGTTCAAAGCCAGCCCAAACCAGGAAAGTCCATGAGACTCTTATCTCCAATAAACCACTCAGAAAACTGGAAGTGGCACTGTGGCTCAAGCACTTGCCTTGGGCTGAAGAGCTGAGGGATGGCACCCAAGCCCAGAGTTCAAGCCCCACGACTGACCAAAAAAATAAAATAAAAATAAAAACAGAACAGAAATAATACTATAAAGAATAATCGGTTTTGAAGAAACAGTAATGTTAGTGTAGACAGGAAAGAGAAAAACTTATAAGAATGGACTTCCACTATAGCATGAACGTAAAAGATGAAATTTGGATGTGGAATCCAGTGAAGCCTCAAGAAAATGAACTTTTTTAGTTTTCAAGAGGTTGTGAACCTTATAATAATGTCCTGTATCATCACCTTGGCCATGAAATAAGAGATTCAATGAAACCATTTGCTCTTAACAATGAATGTATGTATAGCTAATATAACATATACAGAAGATGCCTGTGTGCAATGAATACTAGTTTGCCATTTTAATATAGTTATATAAGTATTTTTATAGATAACAATCTTAAATAATATAATGATATGTTCTAGTACCATAATTACTTAAACAGGTGCTGTGTATATATTTGATTGACTATAAAAATCATAATATTGCTTCTTCATATTTTATTATTGCAAAATCAATGGGTAGGAGGCTAAGGGGAAAATGGTAAGTTTCAGAAACTTTCCTCTTATTAATAAAGCATTTCTAAAGAACTAGTAGTCAGACAGGAGACCAGAAAGTAAGAACAGCTGTGTGGGATTGCACCAGAGAAAGGATCGCCCCTGAAGCAGATTGAAGGCAGCAGCCTGGTGATGAGGGGCTACTGGGGGGGATAATTTAAATAATACCAGAGGGAGGGAAATGGCATACATGAATAAAGGAGAAAGGAGCGAGACAGATACCTAATTTGGCTTGTTCAGTAAGTTTAATGAACAAAGAGCTCAGGTATTTAATGAGTTGACAGCTTTGATAGTGAAACTGATCTGTGCTGTCAGAACTACAGATCTTAAAAACTCAAGAGAAAGATTGTGCAATATGGAGGAGTAAATGCACACTTGGTAATTTCTAAAGGTGTTGAAATGCAAGTTGAAATATTCTACTTGATATAATCAAGTTAAGGTTCATAAATTTTGCTATTGAAATTTCATGTTTCAATAGTAAATGGATTAGTAAAATGTTATCAGAAAAGACTGTTGCTGCCAATTGGAATTTTAGAACTTCCTTAGGAAAAAAAGCCAAATAGGTAATTACAAATACTAATATATGAATCTACATTTGTTGTGGAAAATTAAACCAAAAGGATTTGTAGAAGGGGTGAGTATTGCCCTCATGTCAGCTTTCATTACTACAACAAAATACCTGAAACTTTTACCTTTTAAGAGAATATATATGTATATGTGACTTAGATGAGAGTGGAAATGATGTCCAAATATAAGTAGGGAGAAAGATGGGAGAGGCCAGGTTTCTCCTTTGGTAATGATCCTGAAGTAGCCTGAGAACTACCCTATGCCCCAATGACCTAAGGACCTCCCAAAGTTATCCATTTCCCGAAGTTCCACCACCTCCCTAGGGACTAAACCTTTAATCACATTATATCCTTGAGGGACATTCAAATTATAGCATCCTCAAGTCTTCTCTCCTCTATAAGGCAACAATTTAAAATGTGTATTCTTGTAATGTCTTTCTGGACCCACTCTTACACAACTTATATATTGTATATGAATAGTATACATATTTGTAATGTGCATATTTAATGTATATATACTTTTAGATTTTTATATTTATATAATTCTACAGTTGTTCTATTTCAATTTGTTGTCTTTAGGGTTTGTTCATGGTACATATAGATCCATTGAAACCCCAGTTCTGCCAGAGAAAGTGAAGGAGAGACAGACAGACAGACAGACAGACAGACAGACAGACAAAGAAAGAGACAGAGAGAAGGATATTCTTTCCCATCACTGCCTAGAATTCCATAGAATAGACTGAAGGCCATGCAGGTTGCTCCAATATTGCTCCCATTATAAACATCTCACATCTAATGAGTTTTGTCATTGCAGAATATTTCTTGGTTAATTCTTGATAAGGACCAGGTAAGCTCTATTCTATTTGATCTCCTTGTTGGAAATAATAAAGGATTTTTTTTGTGGCAAAGATTGCAGTTCAAAGCCACTCTGGGCTGAAAAGTTCCTAAGACTCCATCTCCCAACTAACCTGCAAAGAGCCAGGCTGGAAGTATGGCTCAAGACTCTTATCTCTAATTAACCAGCAAACACTGCAAGTGGTACTATAACTCAAAGTGGTTCAGTGCTAGCCTTGAGCAGAAGTGCTCAGGGACAGTGCCCAGGCCTTGAGTTCAAATCTTCTTGAATACCAACTGGGACAAGCCATCCCAGCAATGAGTACCTAGACTCAGCCAGTCTGGGGAACAAGGGAACATGGAAAGGAGTAAGAGGAGATGATGTCACATCAGCCACTTTGTGCCTGCCCTTTCAAAATTAACCAGAGCCGGGAGGTCAATAGAAGTAAGAAGCCTGCCCATCTAGTGTCCATACCTGTCTACCTATTAACTGGACAGGAATTTATATACTTGCCTTTGTTACCTGACTCCTCTACTTAGTCACCAGATGTCAGAAGTAGCTAGGGACATTTCTACCAACATTTTTCAGTCCCAAGTCCTTCCTCTTGCCATTTATTTGCTCTCTAGTATTTTTTTTGTAGCCCCTTCTCTAGACTTCATCTAAGGACTCACATCACCAAGGGACAGCTGCTGCTCACTGCCCTCTCTGGGAGGGGACCAAATTCCAGCCTTTTACGCCTAATGTCAACGCCCCTGCCCCTTGTCAGCAGGAAGTAGCCAGAGAGAATCTGTGTCCTATTTCATGATTATTAAAAGGCTAGAATGTAAGGTCCGCTCCTGGATGGTGAGCAGACTCCACCCTCCTCACAGCAAAGTCTCCACCCAGTACCTGCGTTACTTAGGCAGTTGGGACACCTGTGATGTCACATCTGAATTTGTTGTGGCCACACCTTTCTCCGCCCATACCCTAGATAAGGCCAAGCCCAGGCCCAACGCTCTCTTTTCTAGCTCTTTCCCAGCATTTTCCCAGCTCTCTCTTCTCTTTCCCAGCTCTCTTCTCTTTCCCAGCTCTCTTTCCCAGGTCTTTCCCAGCCATGTGGAGGGCCAACATGGCCTGGTGCTAGCCAGAATGATGAATAAACCTACCCCTTACATGAAAATAAATAAATAAATATTAATTGCAGTAAAAACTGCTCAAAATGTGGTTCACATGCTAGTACACCACTGCTGGATTATTGGAAATTAATTTGAATCTCATCTCAGGCTTCCTTAAGCCAGGACTTGTCAGAGTTGAGCCCAGCAGTAAGGATGTCAATGCATACCCTGCCAATCTGAATGTGTGCTGAAAGTGTTTAACATAATCTTTACATAATAGAGTGAGCGATGCTATCCATTTCATTTACAACCTTGTAGATGAAAAACATCCACATAGTACATTTTCAACACATCAAGTGAAATGGTGAATATGTTGATAGAGAAATTGACACAGATACATGCATTTCAATTGCCAATACATTCATCATACTCTACATTCATCTGTTTGTTACCTGTGCTGCCTTTGACCCAGGTTTGGGAAGTGACTTTCCTACTAAGTTTTTTCAGATGTTGATCATCTAGGTGAGAGCTTAAATCAGGAACTGTCTTTAACATATTCCACACAATGTTGTGTTCATGCGTTGTTCTGTGAACAGGCCTTAAAAAAAAAGAAGATTATGTATTCAGAGACCACAAAACCAACACCTCTTAAAATTTTTGTTTCCAATTTTGTATCTTCTTTTTCTTGAAAAGTTATTTAAGGAGAACTATGATGGTATTCTACTTTGTCCTACTAGTCAACTCGAAGAGTTTGTTTTCTTTAAGATATTTTTTCTTCATGGTACTTTAAACCTTAGGAAATTACCTGGTGCCTTTATCTTATCTTAACTGAAAACTAACTACTTCACTTGCAAGCTGCTGTCTTTTATTAGTAGTACTTAAAATTATAAAGACCTTTCATAGACAAATAGAAAATACTACTGTTATTACTGTTTATTGTAAATCCTTAAATGCTATTAAATTTAAATCAAACTGTAATTTAACTGAGAGTAGACATTTTTAATATAGCTTACTAGATGACATCAAATATAATGCATAGTTATCACAGATGGTATATTTATTAGTTACTTTTGTTCATATGTTTGTTTTTGAGAAAATGTCTTAGTCTTCCTGCCTCAACCTGGCATATGCTGTGAATAAATAGATATGCCACCACACCTTGTTCCTACTTAATCATTAAGGCCACTACTTAGTAAATGAAACACCATAAGCAGGATATGAAATTCATTTTACTCTAAGTTCTCAAGATATTATCTTTGCTTTCACATAGGTCATTACTAATGTCCAGTACTTAGAAATCTAACGTGAAAATGTGCCCACCCCACAAATACAAATTTGCAGTTTTCTCTCGGTTTAGACATCATGTCCTGTTGGCCTATCTGATATGTATGTTAGTAAATGGGGGTGTGGGGGCTAAGCATATACATTGTGCTTTTCCTACAGATTGTAGAAAAAAAACGACATTGAATTAGTAGAGAAACAGTCATAAGAAAACTGGCCTTCTATCTAATAAAATTTTTTTAAAAATCTATGCTTCAGGTGCAACAATAAGGAATTAGTACCTAAGTTAAACGGCATAGGGCTAAGTATGGTAGTTTATGCCCATGATCCCATTCATGTGAGAGGTAGGGAGGATTTGGGTTCTATATAAGTGTAGGCAAAAGTTAATGAGATTTTATCTCAGACAATAAGCCAGGCTGTAATTCCAATTTCATGAAAAATGGAAGTAGAAAGACTATTCATACCTGCCCCAATTTCATGGCAAATGAAGGTAGAAAAAACACATTCATACTGGCTCCAAGTAAAATTGCAAGATTCATTTTGAAAAATAAAAACTGAACTAAAACAGGGCTGGAGGAATAGTGTAAGTAGTAGAGCGCTTATTCGGCAAGCACAAGGCTGTGCATTCAAACCTCAGTAGTGTCAAAAAAAAAAAAAAAAGAAAGAAATACACAATAGGGTTCTATGCTTTCATCAGAAAGGATGACATTGCCCCATTTATTTTTTTCAAATTTTTTTTATTGTGAAAATACTGTACAGAGGGGTTACAATTACATGGGCAAGATAACGAGTACATTTCTTATCAAGCATTGTAGCCTCCTCCTTTGTTTCCCCTTCCCATCCCTTCCCATCCTCCCCCTGCCCCCCCCCCCCACCCAATCCATTTATAAGGAAATGGAAAGATCTGGAAAAAATCATAGTAAGCAAAGTAAGCCAAGCCCAAAGAAAAGTAAGTTGCATGGTTTCCCTCATTTGTAATAGATTGGATATGTCTGTGATATTCTTAACAAGGGATCACAATAGCCCAACTGTTAAGTGCATAGGACCATCTACAATGAAGCTTAGTAACATGAACTCCAAGAATTGGAAACAAGATGTTCTTATTATATCCTGTAAGCAGTTATTTCTATATTTTTCTCTTTTCCTTTTCTGTATACTTTGTCTTGTATATAAGCATCTGTTCCATGGGAGGGAAAGGGATCACAGAAGGACAAAGGATGAACTAATGAAACAACGATACTCACTTGACACTGTTGAAATGAACTATACAACTTGGGGGGGGGGGGTGAGGGAAGTAGGGAGGGGTAAGTGGGAGAAAATGAGAGAGGGTAATAGTGTTTAAAAAGAAATGTACTCATTATCTTACTTATACAACTGTAATCTCCCTGTTCATCACCTTTACAATAAAGATCTATATAAAAAAGAAAAAAGAAAAGAAAGAATTTGCATGTAACAAATGTCTAACACATGTTACTTGATTTTGTCATAAGTAATATCAAAGATGTAAAAAGATTTCATATGTATGTATATTTAGTGGTAAAACTTTAGTTGTTGGAACAGGCAAGTCCAATTGAGAGAACTCTGTACACATAAATGGACACTTTGAAATGAAATCCCTTTAGACAACTAAAGAAGGTAATTTAAAAGCAGACATTAGTTCCTATAATAATATCAAAAGTAGACCAAGTGCTTAGGAAACTCGTTACTTTATAGAAAGCAGTCCCAAAGAGCCAGAAAGTAACTGTTGAGTATGCTTGATTTAGCACAGTGTCTTTCTGAATAAAGCTGACCAATTTTCAATTATCAATCAAAGAAAGAATACAGCCACATGGATTATTGTAAAGCCAGGTGTTTAATAATTCCCTTTAGCCTCTCTTTAAGAGAAAGACGGGAACAGAGAGAATAAACATGGAAAGATTTTAAAACTATGTTTGTAAAACTATGTTTGTAAAACTTTGCTTTGGGAACTGGAATAGACACAAATTAAAGTTTACTATGTTTTTACTGGATTTTTACCACTGAAGAATACAGTATTATGTTCTCAGTTTTGTTGCTGTTCTTGTTTGGTTGGTGTTGTTTTTGTGTTGATACTAGAGTTTTGACTCAGGGCATCAAACTTGCTTAGGGGCTCACTATGCCTGAGCTATGCCTCCAGCCCTTTTTATTTTGTACTGGTGATTGGAAAGAAGGTTTCATCTTTTGCCTTACTTTCACTGAGATTGAGATTCTCCAATTTATGCTTTCCCATCAGTACAAAACAAATATGCAATTCACACCAAGATTTCTTCCATTGAGATGGAATCTTGTAAACATTTTTGCCTCAACTGGACAAAAATAGGAATCTTCCTGATTTCATCCTCCAGCTGTTTCTGTCTCCTGAAGAAGTTTTTGAATTTTCAAAACCAAAAATAATGAGCAGTATTTCTTACTTATCACTGAAGTTACACACTTGCCAGTGTTCTCATTGAATTTGTTCATTGGGATAAGACATAAGAAGAAACATTCCAGGTTATAAAAGATATTTAAGCCAGGGGCCAATGACTCATACCTGTAATACTAGTTACTCCGGAGGCTTAGATCTGAGAATAGTGACTCAAAGCCAGGTGAGCAGGAATGTCCATGAGATTTTTATTTCCAATTAACCTCAAAAGGCCAGAAGTGGAGCTGTTGGTCAAATGGCAGAGTGCTAGCCTTGAGCACAAAAGGTCAGGAATAGTGCCAGGCCCAAGGTTCAAGCCATAGCACTGTGGGGGGGAAATGATAGAGAGAGACAGAGAGACAGAGAGACGAACAAAGAGACAGACACAGACAGAAAGAGAGAAAGAGAGAAAGAAAGAAAGAAAGAAAGAAAGAAAGAAAGAAAGAAAGAAAGAAAGAAAGAAAGAAAGAAAGAAAGAAAGAAAGAAAGAAAGAAAGAAAGAAAGAAAGAAAGAAAGAAAGAAAGAAAGAAAGAAAGGAAAGAAAGAAAGAAAGAAAGAAAGAAAGAAAGAAAGAAAGAAAGAAGAAAAAGAAGAAAGAAGGAAGGAAGGAAGGAAGGAAGGAAGAAAGAAAGAAAGAAAGAAAGAAAGAAAGAAAGAAAGAAAGAAAGAAAGAAAGAAAGAAAGAAAGAAAGAAAGAAAGAAAGAAAGAAAGAAGGAAAGAAAGAAAGAAAAAGAAGAAAGGAAGGAAGGAAGGAAGAAAGAAAGAAAGAAAGAAAGAAAGAAAGAAAGAAAGAAAGAAAGAAAGAAAGAAAGAAAGAAAGAAAGAGAGAGAAGGAAAGAGAGAGAGAAAGAGAGAGAGAGAGAGAGACAGGGAGGGAGGGAGGGGAGGGAAGCAGAGGGAAGAAGAGAGGGAGATGGGGGAATGGAAGGGAGGGGAGAGGAAAGATAAGGAACAGAAAAAAGAAAATGAAAAAAAGAACAAGAAACATTTAAGATCTGATTTTAAAATCTGCTAACACTCAGGGTAAAGTTTTTCTTTCTCATTTTATGAAACAACATTATTGGGGTCAGTCAGTGACTTCAATGTGTTTCCATTTCCTCCTTTTTCTGAATGTGATTCCTTTTTAAAGATAAATAGGCTCTTCCAGGCTCTATGACTGGGCATTGAGTAAGATGAGAGCAACAAATAGTGTCTTTATGATTTTTATGTTATTGGACCAGAAATAGCCATATTTGTTCTTGATGGAAAAAAAGTTATATCCTTCAAGGTCCTTGACTTTGTGATGTAGTAATGGATAAAAGTTTCATATTTGTGTTTTGGTGACAAAATGAATGTTAGTTTTGTAAAACAAAAAAAAATATTCAGATGGAAACTGAGAAGAATAAAGTAAAAAAGGGATTCTAACCTCCCAAAAATGATTCCCCTTATTTCCAAGTATTTGGATGGAAGATATTTGCCAGGCACTCTTGTGGTCATATGACTGACTCCTAGCCAATGTGAAGTGAACAGAGACATTTGAAGCATGACTTGCTACATGATCAAATTTTATAATATTCCATTTTATAACATTCCATTTGAATATAAGAAGAATACATACATTCACCTGTTAGATGCAAAAATCATACATGTGTGCACATGTATATATGTGAATATATATACAAATACATCAAAATACATGAAAACTATGTATATACATTTATATATGCAATCTATAGGAGGATACTTGCAAGTAGGTGTTGTGTTTCTGCCTCTCTATATGTGCAAGCATAAACAAATACAACGTATATTTAGTGTCATGTACTCTTTCTATATATAAAATATATTAACATGCTTCCCTATAGCAAATTTATTTACATTTAGAAAAAAAGAAAAACTAATGGCAGAACTGTTGATCAG